TTGCGGAAGCGAAACTTCAAAGCGTGCACACTTTGCCTTTGTAGGAAGCTGCCCAGCGTGAGTGCGCTTGTTTGGGGCGTGACTGGCTGATATGGGGACGGGACGTGTGCTGTACTGTGCTGTGCAGTGGAGGTGTTTGGTCTGTGGGGCATATGTAACATACGTTGGAGCGCACCTGAGCGCGTGTTGGTGTCTCTGAAGTAATTCGCATTCGAGCCACCGCTTGAGGAGTTGCTCGGGGACTTCAGTCCACAGGCAACTTTGTTGTTAATTTGGCTTATTTCATTTGAGTACGGTCATGTCGTTGAGTTGTTTTTGCTGTTATTTATTTGAGCGCACCTGCAGCGAAAGGAAGCGCAATAATAAAAAAATAAAAATAAGAATGAAAAAAAAAATAATATTCAGAAATAAAAAAAAAAATGCGGATGCTGATAAAAAATTTTGAGCAATTTTGGCTGGAAGTTCGCTGCTGGCGACATCACGCCTTGCCTGACATCATTAAAGTCCTTGCGCTCTTTTACTTTTGGCTCTGCAGGTTGTCCTGACAGCAGTTGCTCTTGTTAAGCTTTCCCTTTCGAAAATATCAAGTTTATTGCACTAAACTGGGTATCTGAACCTGGCCATCAAACTTGCCATGCCCAGAAAAATGTTGTCTTTAGTATTGCAAGGTGTTGTAAATGAATTAAAAAAAAATACATTTTATGAAATTATCAAACAAGCTTTATTTTGTAAAGATAGGAAAAGAAAAACTCTTAAAGTTGTAATAACCTCTTTACATGACGAACTAACAAAATAATATTTGTTTTCTAATATCAGTATTTGAAGGCAAGAGTGAAAATACTGAAAACTCAGAAATGTTTTGCTGCTTAAGAGCAAACAGAATTCGTCATGCTTTTCTGCATATAAACTTTGGCGTTTGTCGCAGCATGTGTCAAAGGGGTTTTTTGCAGCTAAATTCACAGTTCCAGTTGCTTTTTTTTATATTTCTCTGACATTCTTTGCATTTTTTATACTCGAGTGCTGTTTGGCAGAATGTTTCATCAGGTTGAGCTTGACATTGTGTATAAATATTTGATTTCAGAATTTTGTTCGCACTTTTCCCTTTTTCTTGGCCAAGTTTTGTAGTTGTGTGTGTGTGTGTGTGTTTATGTGCGTGTGCAAATATCTCATTAAATTCACTAAAATGCGTGAAATTCTTAGCTTCTCTTTGCTTGCTGCTGCCCTTTTCATGTTTTCGCTGGGCAAACAATTCGTTTTGAGCAGTCCTTGGCCAAAGGATGCAAGTTGTAATTTCATTTCTGACAACTGCTTTTAGAAGTCTCCTGCACCTAAACTTAAACGTGTGAGCGCCTTTGTGTGCGTATGTAGGGCGTGGGGCGGGTTTTGATTCGCAAGTCGCAAACAACATTGAGATAAAGTTTGTTTGGATTTCTTAGCTTGCTCTTCAGATTGTTGTCTGTAATTCTGTAGCAACAAAAAGCCGGAATTGCGATTTTTTTCTTTAAAAAAAATAAGTGAGGCTGAAGTGTGTCCTTGTTACATCCCTTATTGCATTTGTTTTGCCGCTTCCTAACATCTCTCGTTCTTATTTCCTTTCCAATGGAATGACGTTATATGTTGTTATGACACACATATTGTAGCAGTGAAAACTAAATTATATTTCTTTCACAAATACGACTGCCAACTTTACTTTATTCACAACGATTGAATTCTTCTTCTTCAAGTTGGTGATCACACAATTCATATCGATATCAATGCTTTGAATAGATGTTATTTTATTGTCTAATTACTATGTCACCAGTAGTCTGTCATCTACATTACAAGTGGTCTGCTACAATATGTAGCGCCTTGAGGGAATCTTTCTCAGCTAAGAATTCCTAAATCAATAATGTATATACGCAATGATCGGACATAAAATGCTTTGAGTTGATCATTTTGCTTTTTGTTTATTTGAGTAGCCAAGTCAGTCAAAGTTTCAACATTAATGTTAACATTAAAGCTATCGTCAGATAACTACATCGTACTCTAAGCATACAAATTAGTTTAATGTAATAAATTTTTGCCAGTGTATTTGATTATCAGAATGACGCACTTTTTCGTATTTTATTCTTGTCTCTCTTCTTGGCTGTTTGGAAGCAGGCAAGTGATGCTTTAAAATGAAATGTCTTAAATGTTTTTTTCCTGCTTCTTTTTTGTCAGGATTACAGTTATACTTTTGTTGTTGTGCTGTTTACTTTTCTTTTTACCTCCTTAACAAGTGCTTCTGGCATTGGATTTTTTGCCAAAAGCCAAAACAAATTGAACTTTTCACTTTGCATTTGTCATGAAGCAGTTGTTGGAAATCTTCAAATTCAGCTTGAAAACAAATTTAATTCACAAAACAAACAAAAATATGTCTGAACCAAAATTTTCACAAACAAGTGATTTGCATATTTTGTTTTTTTAATTTTGCGGCAAAAATAAATGAAATATATTTATTAATTTATTTTCTTTGACAGCGGCTGTGGATTTATTTATTGGCTCAATTTTGCACATTTTATTAAAAAAAATTCTTGCTCTAAATTGGGAGTCAATTTTGATTTACGACTTAGATTAACCGTTTTCTTAAAGATTTATATTTTAAAGTTATTTGTATTAAATATATATATATTTGCATATTTCCTATTGCTAATCTTAAAAGTATGCTATAGATTTTATTCTTTGCCATGCCAAAGAAGTAAGTTGATATTTAGTTTAATTACACAAAACGTTTTTATTTTGTTGTTCTTCGAGCTGGCAACCACTAATTTTTTAAGCAATTTCGTAATTTTAAGCACAGTTTGTATATTTTTAACCTAATTACGCATTATTTGCATTTTAAACTCATATATCTTCTGCAAAAAATTGATTTTGTCACCCGTCCTGCTTGAATTATGTGATTTTCTTTCAGTCTGAATAGTAACAAATTTTTTGCCAACCATTTGATATCGACTGAACCCATATCAAAACTGTTCGTTTAAAATGCCATCTGATGGGGGCGTGGTGGATGGATGCTGAATCTGATGTTTGGCAAAGTAAACAATTTAATTTACGCACAAATTGTCACGCCCAATTTGGGCCATTAATTGGCATAGCGATAAAACAAAGGCCGTTAACTTGCTCAAACTGATTTTTTGACAATTTCTTTATTTTCAGGACATTCTGAGACATTTTCATACATTTGCTTTGTTGACTTGGGTGAGACTTTGGCGGTTGTTTTTATGCTGTTGCTGTTGAAGGCTTTTATGTTTGTTTGTGTTGTGGCTGCGGCTGCCAACTTTGAATATCTTTTGGCGATAAAAACAAAAATGTCACATTTAACTTTTCTGACAATGTTGACAGCCACAACAGCAAGCAACAACAACCGCAAATCTACCACCAAAAGTTCCTAGAAAATCAGTTAACGCTTTTAAATTTGTTTGACTTGGCCCATTAAAGATGCATTTACGCTTATCAGTCAGTTGAACAAATGTTGTGTGTTAAATTTGAGTGTGTGCATTTACCTACCAAAAGCGGTTTAGGTCATTATCCTTGTGTTATCCTTGTTGAATGTCTGTGTCCTTTTTTCGGCACCTCATCGATTAGCCAGCCAAGTGTTGCCATGCAACAAAGGCGGCCACTTGCCAGCAGCAGCGGCACACACAAAAGCACGGAGGGTTGGAGGCGAAAACCGCATAAGCTACACACTAAACCGGAATGAAAGGAGTCGTGCGGGGTACTGACGACCAAGGGTTAGGATTCGTAGCGACCGCAACGTGGTGACACAAGCACTCGCACACACAGACACACATTCGAACAGGACAACAAAATGTTGCACGTAACTTGGCGACGGGAACGGCGACGAGCGTCCACGCAGCGCATGCAGCAGCGCGATCGACTTGTGTTTATGTTTCTATTTATGCAGGATAATGCAATATATCCTAAGAGACTGTCACACTTAATGGCCCCTGATCGAATCAGGCGACGCAACCGAATCCTGTGTCTAGCAGTTCGTTCGCCACACACGCGTGCACTCAAACACTGCTCGAGATTGTTGATAATATTAATAATAATAATGTTTCGTTGATGCTGATGATGATGTTTGATAATGAAATTCCACAATCCGTATGCCACACGGCACTTATGCTAGCTGCCAATTGCGACAACAACACGACCGTCTGCTCGCACGGCTCGCCGTCAACTGGTTCCGCCTCAAGCTTCGGGCTGACACGTTGCACGAAACTCACAGCGGCAACTTCTGGGATATTTGACGTTAGCTGCACGTTAACGTTTTTAACCACACATTTGAAATGCAATTTGGGGCTGTTCTCTCTCTCCCTCTCTCTCTCTCTCTCTGAAGCTCTCGCTTGTGCGCGCTCTCTCTCGCTCTCCCTGTCGCTCTTTCTCGCTTTTCCTCTCTGAGTCCCTTTGTTTTGATGATGGTGAGTTTGCGCCTGGGGTGAATTTATATTCCCTTGTAAGATTTGTTTTCATTTTGCCGGTTTGTTTACGTTTTCCGCTTTCCACCTTAGCCGGTTTTTTCAACGCTAAGCATGTGCTAAGGCACATTATATTTTTGGCAAGAGCCCTCAAATGCTTTTAGCTTCCTTTAATAAGGGATTTGTCTTGGTTGGTACTATGTAAGCAATTTGAATGGCATCCCTAGAAGATGTTTGAAATTATTATTATTAATCGGAAGTAAGTTATTTATTGTTCAAATTTTAATTTATGTTTCTTAAAATATATGTAATTATTGTCAATAAATTTTGTAATTTCCTCAATGAATGTTTGGACATTCAAAGGCTCTACCATAAGAGCTTTTGTACTTTAAAGATATGTATGTTTATAATAATAATGATAGCTGAGGCCACACAGTTTCTGTAAAGGACAAGACCGCAAAAGCTGTTGGTCGGTAAAAGGACCGGCTGACAATCCGGGCAAACAACTTTAGTAACATTTCGACTGGTAGGGCTTATTTAACAGAAATGTTCATTTTATTGCAGGCCTGCGTAACCACAGGAGCCAAAGAGGCAGCATCACAAGCGGGGCGGCTTACCAGAGGAGTATCAACAATAGTAACATTCCATAGAGGCAAAGTGTATCAATTATAATACGGGTGCAAGGCGAAAACCCCAAAACGGCCAGCTTACCAAACGGGCAGTCATGTTGGCGACAACAACAGCAACACAGAGAACATCTACAACCACAATTACCTCAGATCCGGGCATTCTGTGCTTTCATCACTGCAACGTGAAAGTTTTCTGTTTCGCCTTGCCCCACACTTGCCCCCATTGCAATGCGCAACTGGATGCGGATGCGAATGTGGATCCCAATGCTGCTCCAGACACATTGGGAAATGCGAGTAGCAGCAGCAGCAGCACCATCACCACCACCACAATAACAATTTCCAGGCTGCTCCCTTTTCGGTTGCCCTATCCCTTTGTGCGTGCCACGCAGCATCCATGTGCGATTGTCCTGCGGCCCTCCACAGGCGACTTCCTCAAGTGAGTAAATGGGGCTAGTTTACAAGCGTTTATATGCGTTCGTTAGCCTTTAGGGGGTTTTTATAGAATTGTCAAGAACTTGCTAATATAGCTATACTATTTTTAGTGAAAATATAAAAATATATTGAGCTTTGCATTTTTGTTTGTTGCCTTTGTAAATGCAACACCCAAAAAAGAAGTATTGGTCTTTGTTTTAGAAGAGCTCCGTGGCCTCATAATCTCAGCAATATCAGTATATATTTTCTGTTTTTTGGATTTTGGAGCTGAAATTTTTAATCTCTTTTGTGTTTTTGGCGTCTGGAATATGCAAAATATGTGTGATGCGTTTTTGTGTGTGTTTCCACAGCGATTACAGCAACGCCACAGATTTGCATATAGCGGTGACCACATCCGCCGGCGACATTGTCGAATTCGATAGGGATGGACTGCAGCGCCATCGGCGCGATGATAATCCGCGCGACTGGTGGCAATCTCTGCTAGTGGGCGATGTGCCTGAGCCCTGGCACGACTACTGGGACGAGGTTCTCCAGCAGGTATATGTCCATTTAATATACATATACATACAAATTGCATGCAAATTGCTAAGCTACTCTTCTCGAATAGATTTGTGCACAGTCAACCCGCTGGTCTATCGCCTGCTATGAGGAGACCAGCCATAATTGCTATACCTTCGTCCTGGCCTTCCTGCAGGCCCTGGGCTATGCCCAGCTCAGCGAGGCGGCCCGCACCAAGACCAGTTTCTGTGAGAAGTACATAGTGCCCAGGACAACGACCGCCGGAAAATACATCTCTCTTTATCGCCGCCTGCGTCTGGCTGGCATCCATGTGCATCGTCAGCAGTCCAAGCAGCGGCCTCTCAAAGTGGATGCCTGTGATGGCCCAGATGCTAGACTGACCAATACAAAGGCGCACACCAATGGCATTGGGAGTGGCGGTTTAGGAGCACGCCTTCATGCACGTCAAACGCTTTGCACCATCGAGGAGTGATCGAGAGTTCTACAGTTAATAAAAAATGTTGATATCGGGTATCGCTAGAGCTATAATCTATCTAAAACTCCGCGTACTAAAAGTGCTGCAGAAAAGTTAAATCAATACGATTAAACGATGATTTGATACCATCGAACTGCAATTGAAAAATCCATTTATATTTTTGCAGCAGTATCACATATATATGTATGTTCAGTTAACATATTTAATTACTTATATGTTCCTTCAGTTAAGTATTGTGTTACACCAGATGTTTTGGTATATATGTACATTAAAGTTCTTGTTAGTGTATAATTGAAACGTATTTATTTTTAACTTGGCGTAACTTTGTAATTAGTTTTACTTTACTTATTTTTATAAGTTTGGTCTTCTAATGGGCAAAATAGTGATTGTTTAAATAATTAAGTATTTTATGTGATTTTGAAAAGTGATTTAATAAATACTGTCAAGAATATGTATGTTCATGAACATTTTTGATCGCTAAGCAGTAAATGTTAACCCCAAGATCAGTATAATAATTTAACAATAATCCCAATCGTTAAATGCTAAGCAAAGAATTTGGTGATAAATACTTGACATTATTTCCGCTTATATTCATTGATGCAAAATAATTTATCATGGAATGTTATGAACTTTATAAAATGTAGTTTAACTAATTTTTGGTGTAAAAGCTTTTTGATATGTGGAATTATTTCGGTGGATGGACGTTTTCCGGGAACTGGTTCATAAAGTTGCCAGGTGGATCATAGTTGCACACTACATAAATTGTGTTCCCACTGCAAGAGTTTAGGGAGGACGAATTATTTTGAAACCCTGGAAAGTCAGGATGCTTTTTTGCAGTCCCGCAAATATCATACGCAGATCAACTATGCATCTCGTATGCTTACCGTCGAGCAAATCCTACGCCAAGCTGTGTAGAAGATCTCCACACCACTTGGGTAAAGTGGCCCGTGTTACTTTGGAAGGATGGTCGTTGCCAATTGTACTGATGGATTTCATTATACCAGGATGTTACTGCATCTGTACCAGTGAGATTACCACCCGAAGCCATATAGATATTCTCTCCATATCCACTGTTTTGACGATGCTCCATACGATTTTTGGCCAGTAGATACTGCATAGATATTGACGAATAATTAGATATACCAGTGGATAATAGAGGAGTGTACCTTTGCCCAGTCGGTGGATAGTTTGGATAGTTGTTCATTCAGCTGCAGTGGAGGCGCATTGTGGCGAGTTCTATAGGAATTGTGGGCCTTAAGCACCTCTTGTTCGAACTGCAATGGAACGAATTTGGCAAATGTAACTGCTTTGAATTTAAATAGTAAAACTGAACTTAAGTTGAGTCACTGCTGCTCTAGCGTTTTGCTGATTTTTATTTACACAAAACTTCACTTTTCTGCAACACTTTATAATTCAAATTACAAAGCACCCATATATTTTGAATATTACATAAACATTTATTACAAATAAATTATTCTTACTGCTTGAGTACTCATTGCCGTTGAAGTACTTTGAAATTTAATTTGATAAACTATTAGGAGAATTGTAATTGAAATATTCTCATGGATGAAGCTTTACGGTTCCGACGTTTAAATAATACTGAGCCCCTTAGCTGTGAGCAGTGCCTTTTTATGTGTGGTGCACTTTACTGATAGGAACAAGCAACTTAAATAGAGCAACCTCCGGTGGTGGCTGACTAAGCTCTTTATCAACAACTGGTGCACATCTATACATAATGCCTCACACAACAACTGAGGTCTGTTTGTCGGATCGTATGCTGATTCAATTTAAATGAGCTCGCTATAATGGGGTATATCTTGAGTTCTTTACAAAACGAGATAAATATAAATGCTACGTAAATAATTTGATTTGTTTTCATTTATATTTTTTTTTTTTATTGGGGAGTGTTTACGGACTGAAATTTTCTTAATTTAACTTTGGCATATTCGGCTTAGAATTGAGTCAACCTATTTTTAAATATAGATTTTATGGGAATATTAAAAACTTTACTGCTCAATGCTGGCACACCTTAGAAGTTTTAAAATTGAAAAATCGTGTCTGGTTGTGATAAATTATATACGACAGTAATAAATAAATGTTTCGATTGAAAATGTGACACATTTATATTTTAGCATATTGCGTAGCAACCTTTTGTGGTTCAATTGTTAGTAGGTCGTCCATCAGGGCTTATACTTACATGTGTCAACTAAAAGCTTTGCGGGATGTCATCCTTGTGCTCAGCCTTTTGCGGCTGATATTCGCGACTCCCTCATTATTAATCACAATATCCACGGCATGAAGCGGATTCGTTATGCAAAACTGTCATGAATCAGGCGAAAATGTAATTACATTCTCTCTGATGAGCAGCGAGCTCATCATTTCCTCTGCACCTTGGTGGTGCCCTGGTGTCTTATCCTGGTTGCTCGCCAAGTCGGGACATTTCATCTTGGATAGCACGCAATACGTGCATATAAATTGTATAATGTCGTTGGTAACTTTGAAGACACGTAATCTAGAAGTAAATAAGTTTTCTGCGTCGCCTCGCGTTAAGTTTTGCTTATGAATTTTAAGCTGACAAAGTTTTCTGTTTGTTCTTGTTGCTGTTCTGCCCATTGGGGTATAATGATGTTGTTATTGAATTCAACTGTAAAGGATGCTTAGTATGATCGTAGATGTGAAATGAGTTGTAAATTGATAACTTCAATAATACAAAAAATGCATTGGACTGCGGCACAGGGTTAGAGGAAATTTTAATAGAAATAATAATAACGACAGGTTTCTATTTCCTGCATAAATTTTACTAAATTTGCACACCGTAATTACTTAGATAAGACAAAAGCTAGCAAATCACACAATCATGAAATACACAATGGGTATCAATCGGATGACAAGTTGACTCACAAATGGCACAATGGCACATGCTAAAATGGGTCAGTACTTTGACATAATTAAACAGCAATTATTATATGGCCAGACCAAGGTCGTGACCACACCTGTAATTGTGCCATAAAATATTGTAGAAATGGGTGCGCTTGAAACAATGCTTGAGCTCTTATCGGGAAACATGAGTCAAAAGCATGTCGGAAAAAAATGGATTTATTCCAACAGAAAGCTGTTACAAATTTTAGTTATTCAATTCAAATGGCCCCAGTTTAGCATAAGATGCGTAACAAACGATTGCCAACAATAGCCACAGCCAAAAAGGAACGTGCTAAATAATGCACATGTCCATTGAAAGAGAACAAAAATCAGAGAATCTGCAATCGGCAATCGGCAAATCAGCACAGACCTTGAGCGGCACTTAGTACATTCGAGCGAATTATTTTGTATTCATTTGTTGGCCCACTCTTCAACATATATATATGCATATATACATACATTCATATATAAATACATACGTACATACATATATATATACATACATACATACATACATACATACATACATACATACATACATACATACATACGTACATAAACACATATATGCATTTTGTCAGTCCGGCAGCGAACTTTGTACCTCCATTACAGACCCCAATACCAATGCAGCCTGAATGGGTATATTATGGTGAACATCCAAACGTTTGTATGGCTGCTGCCCAGATAACACCCAATCCCACATCCCCGCAACAGCCAACCCCCCTTTTCGACACGTTTTCAACGTTGTCGAGCAAGCATTGAAAAATCTCAACTAATGTCAAACGCTTTGTCGTCATCGTCGTCTATGAACATTATGGTTGCAGGGAGGCGACGGAGTGTTGAGTTGACACTTATAATTTAGTAGCTGCATATTTCTCAATGCAGTCAAGTGGATGGAGCTGCTTATGTTCTCTTTGAAAAGGATGAATGCATTCTCACTTTGATTGATGACCAAAGATTCTGAGCGTAACAAAAATTAAAAGTTTCATCAGTTAGATCAGTTTAAGCAACCTTAAAGCACTATTTTCATATCACTTTAAAATTATAAAACAAACAAGCAATTGATAAAGAATGCAGCGATATTTATATGGAAAAGAAACAATTGCGCCGCTTGTTTCCAAGAATTTGAATCTGTGCCGGTCAAGCGCACTGCAATAACTATTCTGATTAGAAATATATTTGTAATGCAATGCAAATATGTAGCGCCGGAACTCTGCCTATTCTCTGAACAATTTTTCATTACCATGGGTATCAGTATCTGAAGACCTTCGATCAGAGCGCGTGAAATTGCATTAACCCAATTTCTTGAGTCAACTTGAGCAAATAACCAAATTGCGAGACGATTGTCTTGGAAACTTAAGGAAAATGGTAAAACCATATATCTGACGTAGATTCACCAAATTTGAAAGGTATATTGCTAGTATCATCCGTCAGAAGGCGAAAAACCATTTGGAATACGCCCACTCCGTAAAAACCTATATCATCCGCAATTTAAGAGCCACAGTACCAAATTTGGAAGGCATATCACCGGGACAACATCCACCCTATTGTGTGGCACATGTTTTCGGATAGTTTTACTTTTTGGTATCAGAGTATTTCGAAGTCGGCTGCTCCCAAATGAAACTTTCCCACTTTTTAAATTTTCATGTTATTTGCGCTTTAGTTTGAAATTGTGATGCTTCTTGAGAAAATTGAAATAATATTGAGCAATTGCTAACTGCAGCCACAGTGAAGTGAAACATTCTTTAGATTGTGTTGAATGAGTACTTATAAGCTTCTACAATATGATTTTAAAAATAGCGATATTATAATGCAGTTGTCCATGGATAAATTTCACACACAATTTGATGTTATATTAATTTCATCCGTATTAATCCATTAAAACGCTTTGTCGTCGTCGCCGTTTATCTTTTAATTCATCATATACTAATTTCTACAAAAGCGCATTGAGATTATTTAATATACGGGAAATTTAATTATTTTAATTGATGCAATGCAATGATGCATTTATTTCGACAATTAATCATTTGAAACTCAAACAATCATTGAGTATGGTATATACACAGTGTATATTATACATATACATATTACATTTAAAGTATTAATGATCAGTTGAACCATTCAAATTGTGTGGTTAAAGCTTATTCTGCTATTATCTCAATTAAAACATAATTTAATATTTTGTAATATCAGGCTTTATTATTTCAACATGAATGTGGAATGTGATAAATATATGATAAAGTGGGGTCGTAATTTGATGCATATCAAAGTCTAAATATAACAAGTCCAGTGGGCTGGACTACGAAATACCCATACCACAGCAGTTCATATTATTTTCTAGTGTTGACAAATTTCTCTATTCAAGTTTTGCACACTTAAATGTACCTAAATTTCACAAAACAAGGATGGAAAGTTGAAATAATAGACCTACATAACTGTTGCAGTCGAGTTGTTACTATTTTCTCAAATGCCTTGGGTATTGTGGACAATTTGGAAATACCCCTGTAGTTTTTTACATCAAACTTTGAGACATTTTTATGGAGATGAATAATAAAGGACTCCTTCTAAATAGCGGGGAAAGAACAAGTATCAACAGCAAAAGTAAATAATTTAAGTAAAAGTTTGCAAAGAGACTCAGAACAGTACTTAAAAAACAGCCCCGAATCCATTTGGACCTGGCGAATACTGAGTGTAGGTCGCCAAGAAAAGACTTTTCAGTGATCACAGAACAAAAACTGCAATTAGATCTTTGAACAACAAAAGGATAGGGTACATTGTGTGAAAAGTTAGTAGGGGAATAGGTAGGTTGAAAATACTCAGAGAGCAGATCGGCTGCAGGCTGATCATTCCTTGCTCTTGTGTCTTCATAAAAACGAGTTTGGTAACGAAGACAATTTGCGTTTCATATTCACAAACTTATAAACGTGCCTAGGAATCTGTGCAAATTTCAGCCTACGGTGAAGAATGTAATTATTATAACAACACGAGTTATGAGTAATAAAAATGATATCACGATATCCATATTGGTATCAAATAATAATTAATTAAGTTTAAGAAAATCTGCTGTACGGAAGAAACGATTCTTACGTGTAGAACCCGTTTCTATAAAAGGGTCAAGAGTTTGTAGCTCTTCAGGATAAACAAGTGGATTACAGCAAGTGATAATAGTACAAAAATTAAATCAAGTAAGCTGTCGTTACAGTTTCGAATAGGATTAACTTGAGATAGTGACAACTCATGAAGCCCATCAATAAATTAATTTGAGCTGAGTAACACAAATAAATTTGATGGATCGCCAATACATAATTTCTGGAAGATTAAAGTCACCACATACAATCAAATAGTCTCCATCAGAAATCATAAAAGAAATATATTGGTTTGCGGATAGATGATTTAGATAGATGGAGACATCTGATTGAGGCGGAATGTAGAAACATGTGATAAATAATAAAAAAAATAAATAAATAATAAATAAAAAATTTGTATTCTTAAGACTCCTAACATTCTGATGAGCTAGAGAAAGAGAGGATTTTAGTTGTTTGATGCAACATTCGAAGATGAGGACTTAGAGGTAGTTTAATTGGAGGCCGAAACGTTTTTTATTTGTATAATCCTTTATTACTAAGCCTTTCGGCTAGAAATTAGCACAAAAAATTATGCCAAATTTCTCAACCGGAACTGTTATTTTAAAAGATGAAATTTCTGTTCTATAATTA